TGCCATGGAGAGGATCTTCTTATGGTGATTCTATTTGGTGCCCTTTATATTTCTTGGATCTGGATGACTGAATGCTTCCCTAAGTTTGAGAAGTTTCCTGCAAGTATTTTATGGAATAGATCTTCTATGCCCCTGTCCAATTATTTGCCTTCTGGAATACCTATTATTCAGATAGCTGGATAGTGTCTAGTATTTCCTAAATGTTGTCTTAATTTTTAAAAAAAATTTTAAATTATTTTTGGTGATTTTATCTAAGTCAAAGGTTTTGTCTTCTAGTTCAGAGATTCTGTTTTCTGTGTGGTCTAGTCTGTCACTAATACTTTCAAGGGAGGTCTTGGTTTTCTGTATTACTGTCTTCATCTCTAGAAGTTCTGATTGGTTCTTTTATATGGTGCCTATACCCTCCTTCAGATCCTAGAAAGACTTCCTCATCTCTGTCACCATGAATGTTTCTGGCATTTCTGCAAGTTCTTTTGTGCTGTCCACGGTTGAAGAAGAGCTGCTCTGTTCCATTGGGGAAGGTGTTTCCTTGTTTTCCCATATTTCTTGTGCCTCTGTACTGGTTCCTAGTCATCCAATAGATTATACACTTCACTCTATTTTTCTGGTGTGGTTTCTATAGTGTCAGAGGGGAAGAAGAGCTCTACTTCACAGCATGTTCTTGATAGAGAGCCTTGTCTTCCAGTCGGAGAAGCATGTGTATAGCAGCTATAGGTGTTGATGTGTTTCACAGTCTCTGGGTAGCAGGTGCACCTGGGGCTAAGCTGCAGAGTTTCAACTGGAGAAGGAAGTTCAGAAAACTGTGAAGTCTTGAAATTTTCCTGGGTGGGCAGATGGCAGCTAGAAGTCTAAAACAGTCTTCCTGCCTCAGTTGGCCTCACTGGCTGCTGCCACTCCACACTCCTCAGTGCAGGCTCTGGGAGTAATGGCGGCAAAGGGGCCAGTCTGGTGTGCACCTGGGGAAGTTGGAAGACAATGGGAGATTCCTAAGGTAGTCTCCTTCCTCAGTTTTCTTTTCTTTTTCTTTAAAGAATTATTTTATTTCGATTTATTTATTTATTTTAGTTTGACCACGGAGGGACAGAGCAAGAGCGAGAGCAAGAGAGAGGGAAAGTGAGTAAAGCCAGCCTCCAGGTCTGGGACTCAAACCACGGTCAGCCATGTGGGAATCCAGGGCCCTTAACCACCATGCCACCTTCTGGCCCTCATGGAGACTATTTTTAACCCAGAGAAGTTTTCCAAACTTCCACAGAACTTTCTTTTCTTTTCTCTTTATTCTTCTTATCTTTCTTTAAACATTCTATCGCTATGTGTCATTTGGCTTGTAAGAGTTGTCTAGGGCATGAACGGGCTGTAATTTGTCCTTCTAACTGCCTGGCAGACGTTTTCGATGTAACTATTGTAGCTGGCACTCCTCTGGACACCCTTGCATGCTGCCCACTTGGACATGGAGTGTGACCTGGAGCTGCTGAGCCGAAGGGAAGGCATGTTTTTGTTTGGACTTGGTTCTGCTGGCTTGCCCACAAGGCCGACTGTCAGTTTGTTCTACCTCCAGAAAAGTGGGGAGAACTCATTCATTCACACCCTTGCCAACTCTTATCATGAAACAGGGCTTTTCCACTGTGGACAGGTAACCTCATTCCATTTGAGTCAAGGAGAAAGAGGAATAGAAAGGAAGGGCCATCTCCCTGCTGGCTGAGGCTGGGCCCAGAGGGCAGATATGGAGCCTGATTCTGAGGTCTTCAGGGAAACCATACAGTCTCAAGGTCCCTGACCAAACCATGGTATCTCCGTGAGCCTGCCCTCAGCCAAGCCTCTGAGCTGGGACTAGATTGAAAGGTAGGTCTTCCTCTTTGTCCTCTTTGGGGCAAAAGCATTATGTACAGATTCAGGGACAAAGGCTGGTTCTTCCAAGGAACCTACTAGAGGCAGGGGGTATGGGTGCTCCCTCTTCGCTTCGCTTCGCACAGTGGCAAAGCTCCCGGAGCTTCCATTTCCTGCCTCACCCCTCAGTGGAGAACGACCTCACGGCTGAATGGCAGCGAGAGCGTGGCGGTGGGAACGGGGGTCGCCGGGCCATCTGGGCAAAGGCCCACCTTCTCTAGGCTTCACTAGGTGTCCTGGTCTGAAAATCAAGACCATTGGCCAATCGTGAAGAGCTTTATGTTCCATAATGCTAAAATACTTTCTTCCACTCCTTCCTCCCTCCATTCCCTACCCCCTTTTCCTTCTTTCTTCCCTACTGTATTCTTCCTTACTCTCTCAATACTCGTTCCCCACAATTCACCTTAAAAGGTAAGAGAAGCTCAAAAGTTTTCCGTAAAAAATGTTCATTGAATATAACTTGGTTGTGCAATAATGTTTATAATAAGACAGCACTTAACAAATAGTCGCCACGTGCCAGGGCTATACAAAGAATTTAATATGTTAACTCACAACAACCCTATAAGATACATATTTTCACTCATCTCACTCAGCCAACAAAAGCACTAAGCCTTCCTTATGTAACCCAGAATTAGGTAACTATTGTCAATGCCGTATGGTAGAGTACTGCACAGCCCTTAAGATTGCGGTTAGGAACATTTTTATTAGCATGGAAAAAATACTCCATAGATGAAAATATACACAATTTCAAAATGTGATTAAAAACCAAGTTTAATTTTAAGAAATAAAATTTATATCTCCATATCTAATTGGAAGAATGTAACTCAATACATTCACAGGAATGATCTGTGAGTGACAGCATTATAGATAAGTTTTTATAAACTCTATTTCCTTCTGATTCCCAAGTTACATGAAATTATAATGAGCATGAAGTCAGAAAATATTTCATGTACATAACAAAAATCTGAAGGATTAAAAGCCGAACTGTAAACCCTGGTTACCACATGGAAGTGGGATTAGGTATTGGGAATTACTCTTTTTAGTTTGTACATATTTGTGTTATTTCCAATGTATTTTAAATTTTTGTTTCACTGTAATTAAATACACATAAAATAAAATTTACCATCCCAACCAGGTAGGTGTCCAGTTAAGCTGGCTGAAGTCCACCCACACGGTCCAGTCACCATCACCTCTGCCCGTCTGCAGAACGCCTTTCATCTTCCACAGTTAAACACCCCCTTAGAGTAACCGCCATTCCCCCTTCCCTCTGGCCAGCACTATTCCACCTTCCGTTTCTATGAATGTGGCTAGTCTAGATATACAAGTAGATAAAACATTCTTCTAATAGTTTGTGAAAGTTTTTTATTCTTTCTGTACGGCCTGAAAATTTGGCGAATCTTCCAACAGGAATATTCATGTAAAAATTCTCAGAACAGGGACCAGCAGTTAGTGTAATGGCTATGTCGCTGGACTCCCATGTAGTTGACCACGGTTTGAGTCTTGGACCCGGTGGCTTAAACTCATGCCGGGCGCGTGCGCGTGCGTGCCCAAGATCCTGAGAAGAGAACGGAGGAGAAGTGACTGCGATGTGGCCATCCCCCCTGGGGGGTGATTTCTCACTGTCTGTCTCTCTGACTCTCTCCGTCTGGCGAGCACAAACACCCTATAGCAAAAATCTCTCAAAACAAACAAACAAACAAAAAACCTCTCAGAACATCACACTGTATCCCACAAATATATACAACTAATATGTGTCAATTAAAATGTAGTGTTAAACTGTCCCAAGGATTGATGAAGATAAATGTCATCCACCTCTTTAATCCCCAGTGAAACTTCCCGGAAGAGCCGCTGTGTGCACACTCCCCGCGGGTGCACTGACCAGGTAAGCTCCCCCTGCCCTCGGCCCGCACAGGTGAGCTCCGCCCAGGTGAGCACTATGCAGGTGACCATCGCTGGGTAAGCAACACGCAGGTGAGCCCCGCGCAGGTGAGCACTACCACCCAGGCGAGCCCCGCGCAGGTGAGCACCACCGCCCAGGCGAGCCCCGCCCAGGCAAGCCCCGCACAGGTGAACCCCGCACAGGTGAACCCCGCACAGGTGAGCCCCACGCAGGTGAGCACCACCGCCCAGGTGAGCCCCGCCCAGGTGAACCCCGCCCAGGTGAACACCGCACAGGTGAGCCCCGCCCGGGTGGGCACCGCCCAAGTGAGCTCCGCACAGGTGAACCCCGCACAGGTGAGCACACGCACTCTCCCCTCCGCCCCGCCCTGCACGCGGCGCTCCAGCCTGGCTGCTCCCAGCGATGGCCGGTGGCCCCTCCCGGCGCCCGCGGAGCTGCCGCGTTCCCCTCGCGGGTTCCCGGGTTCCTACTGACCGGCATGAGGTTTCTTCCCGCCTTTCTTGGCAACGTTCCTTCCTTCAAGAGCGCCGGTGCGCTTCAGAATTTGAGCGAGCCACCTTGAACTCTCCGAGCCGCGTTTTCTCCGTGCGTCCCGCGCTGAGAGGCGGACTCCTCTGTGGGGTCCCCACTCGGGGACCCGACGGCGCAGGGGGAGGGCGCGGCGAGAACTCGGGCACGCGCGGACCCCGCGCCAGCTCCCGGGCCGCGCGATGTCAGGGCTGCGCGGAGGAGCGTGGGGACCGTGTCTCCACCGCGGGCAGCGGGCACGAGGCGGGAGCGAGCAGACAGCGAGCCGCGGGGGGTCACCGGAGGGAGACGCTTGCGCAAAGGGGCCTGGAGACACCAGAGCAAACCCTCCCCAGCTCGTCCGCGCTCCGCGAGCTGCAGCTGCGCGCCCACCCTGCGGACGTGCCGCTGACGAGCAGCTGTCAGCGCCCGCCGAGGCCAGGCCTGTGCAAGGCGCCGGGTGACACCTCCAGCAGGGCAGAGGTGTAGACGTGCGTTCACGCTGGCGAAGCACGCGCGAGCTGGAGCCGGGCCGGGGCTGGGCGGCGGTTACCCACAAGCCATCCGTGTCCGTCCCTAAGGAAGGGGTCCCCGCGGCGCGCAGCAGCCTCTGGGTTCCACTCGCAGCCCCTGGGCTCAGCGACGGCCCTGCGTGTGCCACGACCCAGCTGCCCTTCGAGAAGACCCCGCTGTGCGCACCGGGCCCGGGATGCGATCCTCCCGTCGCCCGCTTCTCCCTCTTCCCCTCGCAGGCCTCCTGCGTCCTCGCGGGCGCTCGCCACGCAGCCTGGCGCTCATGGCGGCAGCCTGGGCGAACCAGAGCTGGGCGCGCGAGTTCGTGCTGCTGGGCTTCGCGCACGTGCCCGCGCTGCGGCCGCTGCTCGCCGCGCCCTTCCTGGCCATGTTCCTGCTGGCGCTGGGCGGCAACGCGCTCATCGTGCTGCTCACCGGCCTGGACCCCGCGCTGCGCGCACCCATGTACGTCTTCCTGCGCCATCTGGCCCTGCTGGAGCTCTGCTTCTCGCTGGACGTCGCGCCCCGGCTGCTGGTGACGCTGCTGCGGCCCGGGCGAGGCGTGTCCGCCGCCGGCTGCGCGCTGCAGCTGCTGCTGGTGCTGTCGTGCGTCACGTCCGAGTGCTTCCTCCTGACCGCCATGGCCTGGGACCGCTTCGTGGCCATCTGCAGGCCGCTGCGCTACGGCGCCGTGGTCAGCCCGCGGCTGTGCAGCCTGGTGGCCGCCCCCCTCATGGCTGGCCGGGCTGCCCGTGGCGCTGGTCTTCACCGTGTGGCTGTTCTGCTTCCCTTTCTGCGGGCCCCGGGGCATCCGGCACTTCTTCTGCGACATCGCCCCGCTGCTGAGCCTGGTGTGTGCGGACACCAGACTCTTCGAGGCCAGCGCGCTGGCGGCCACGGTGCTGGTCATCATGGTGCCCTTCTGTCTCATAGCCGCGTCCTACGCCGGGATCCTCGTCGCCGTCCTGCGTATGCCCTCAGCCGCCGGGCGCCGCAAGGCCCTGTCCACGTGCGCCTCCCACCTCATCGTGGTGATCCTGTTTTATGGCACGACAGGTGTCATCCACCTGCGCCCCAAGGCCAGCTACTCCCCGGAGAGCAAGCAGGTGGTGTCCCTGTCCTACACTCTGGTCACACCCATGCTCAACCCCCTCATCTACAGCCTCCGGAACAAGGAGGTGAAGGCTGCTTTGGGGCGAGTGTGCTGCGGTCGTCGGGTTTGTAACCCGTGAGTGACCACTCAGGACCGGCTTGCAGTTAGGGATGGTCATGTCTGTTTCGTCCAGGGCTAACGTGTCAGTGTGGGGTGCAGCACTCTGCTTCCAGGAAGCCGTAACTGTCTTTTCAGTGTGTGCGCCCCTGGTCCCCTGGTTCCTCCTTCCTGCCCAAGATGAGGCACCTGAGGAAGCCGGCAGTCCTTTTTCACAACGGCCTCACAGTGGTGGATAGATGAACTTACTTTGGCCAGTTAGGGTGTCTCTGTAACTTTCTCTGTGAGAATGCTGTGTAACGATCTTCAGATTTAGTGCCTTGAAACACAGTCCCCTGAATTTTTAGTCAGCTGAGGGTTAGCTAATCTAAGCTGAGCTTGTCTGAGTGGTTCTGATCTTAGCTAGACTTTATAAAACGAAGGGTCACGGATAAAGGCTGGCTTAGAAGAACGTCTCCACCCTTCTCCTGGGGTCAGAGGGCTACCTGAAGCATGCCTTTTGTCACTGCAGTCGTTGAGGTATAAGACGAAGCCCAACTGCACAATGCAATGTCAAGCCTTTGGTCATAACACACCCAGTAATGTGCCGTTGGCCCGTGCAAATCACACAGGCAGATTCAAAACGAAGGGGTGAGATATTACCCTCCGCCCTTTTGTGGGAGGAACTATGAAGTTCTAACAAACGGCGCTGATGAAACGAAGAGTGAGTGATTTGGGGGCATAAGAGAGTCTACTTCGAAGAGCCGGACAAAGGTTTTCTCCTCAAACTCCTCTTTCTGTGGACTTCCCAGAAACTGTTTGGCCTTTAACAGGGGAGTTCCTGCCTGAAATAATAGCAGTGCAAATTAGGTAAAGACCAGTAAAGGGAGAGAGATGGGGTTTAGTGATTGTGGAGCTCCTTGATCCAGCCACGCCTGAAGTGCATTCTGTACCTGAAATTCTTATGTGAGTAAATAAATTCCTTTTTACTTAAGTGAGCTTAGGTTGGTTTCGCTATGCTTTTCAGTGACCCGACTTTATCTCTAATAACTAGCCTGATATATGAGTTAATTTATTTATTCCCTCAAGTCCATTAAGAATTTTTTCTAAGCAAAGGTAAATATACCAGAGAAGTTTGTTCTCTTTAGCTTACTTATATGAGGGGGATGTCTTCAGAAAGCTCACAGAAAATGTGTATCGTGATAAAACTATGCATAGCTATCAAATATTTTTGCACTAAAATAAACTCACACTTTAATTCCATTCCTCCACAAGTGGGAATAGAACCATATCTACCACATAGAGTTGTTGAAATTAAACAAGGAAAGGTGTGGTTGTACCTACCACAGTGCTTAGAACACAATGGGTGCTCTGTATGCTATTCCCACAGCTATTCCAATAGCTCAGAAACCACCAAACCCCATCTTCAGCAGGGGACACTCAGTAATATTCCCAGGAGGCTCGATTTGGAACGAGGAGACTGGGAGCTACGTCTGGAGCCACAGCCTTCCATGTAGGGCGTTGGGCAAATCACATCGCCTTTCTGAAACTCAGCCTTTCCCTCTGTAAAGAGCAAGGGTTGTGGAGGTTCAACAGCCTCCATTCTGCTTGCTACCTGGGATTACGTGGAGATGTGACCAGTCAGTATAAAAATACCACGATTGCATGGCTATGAGGTGATGGTGATGATTGGGGCTGGATGCGCTGTTGTTGGGATGCTGTCCTAATACTGGTGCATCCGTACGGCTGTCCTCACCTCAACTCGTCCTTGACAGCAACTCAAGACCATGGGAGAGGCGTGAGCACATAGTTTTCCGGATCGGAATCCTTCAACTCACGATGTAGTAATAGCACTCAGCACTGTCACCACCCTCGTCATCACTGCGAACACGAAGCGCTGCCTATGTGGTAAGCACAATTCTGGGTGCACTTCAAAGTTCTTTAACTCCATAACATGTCTTCAATGGTGCTCAATTTCCTGTCCTTAGGTGTTCAGGGAAATCTTTCTTTGTCCTCACAATCAATCCAGTTTTCTTTGAGCAAGGTTTCTGGATTAAAGGAAAAAAACTTGTAAAAATTCTATTTTTACACCTTGTACATTTACATTTAATCACCATGCATCTTCACTGTGTGAAGATTATTTTTTACCATCTTGGATACAGTGCATATCAGTCAGGTCAAAGATATCACCTGTACATTACCATCAACAGGTAACTTTTTGTTTGGGTGTCTGATAAATGTTATTCCTCATCCCCTCTCTCCCACCCCCATCACCTACCCCCTACTGTCTCTGTATCTACAGTTAATTGACAGTGTAACTGTACTGATTTATGGGGTACACTATGATGTTTTGATATGAATATATATTGCATAGTGTATACTTAGGGCAGCTAGCATATCTGTATCTATGCACACCTTTATAGATTTACCGTTTCTTTGTGGTGAGAACATTCGATTCCTCTCACCTAGCTATTTTGGAATGTATGATATGTTATTGTTAACTGTAGTCACCTTACTAAGCAGTAGAACACCAGAACATAGTTCTCCTATCTAATTTTAACAATATTTCAAACTAGCTAAAAGGGAGGATTTTGAATGGTCCCATCTCAAATGTCTGAGATGACAGGTATGCAAATTACCTTAATTTGATTAATACAGGTTATAATCACACACTGAGAAATCACACTGTTCTTCACAAATATATACAACTGTGTCAATTAATAAAATTAAAAAAAAAAGGATTTCCTTTCTTTTTAAACAAGCCAGTTCTGCCTAAGTCTCCACCTTCCTAAGGGTTACTTCCCCAATTCCACATTCAAACAGCAAATATGCGTTGACCACCTGCTGTGTGTCAGGCATTTCTCTGGGTTGTCGGGGTGCTGGGGTGGATAAGACGTCAGAATCTGAGACCTCGTGAATTTTCAGGAGTGTGCAATGTCTTTGAAAGATGTGGTCAAGAAACACTGAGGTGGTTGTTACGAAGCTGCATGGCCTCCAGCCTGATTTAGCGCATCAGAACTGGGGTTTATAAATGTGCATTTACAGCAATCATCCCACATAATCCTGACAGAGCTGACGATCTACCGCTCTATCGGATTCCTCCTTAGAAGACAGAGCATTAAGGAGGCCAACACGGAAACCCCAGTCCAAATACCAGAGGGAAGGTCATCTCCATATAACCACACTCTGTCTTCGCTAAGCTGAAACTCTGAGGTCATCAACACCAAAATCTGCTTGCCTCCGTTCTGGAGACAACTGAGCCAGGATGCCAAACTCCAACTCTCCAGCACATTCTTCCGACCTCATTCAGAAAGTCAGGCTTAGGCCAGCGTCTCCCAGGACTCGCCTCAGGGTCCAGAAGTAATTCCGGCACACAATACTGCTGTATCAGAGGAGGGAATGAATTCTCTGTAGCTAAAGAAAAGAAAGGTCTGCTGAATGCTTTTCAAAAACTGATGTTTGATGTAAATTTCAAAGGCGGAATTGAGTTTCATCAAGAGAAAAGACAATCTCTTGTCATAGAAAACAGTTTGGAGACAGAGGCGCCAATGTCCTTTGGCTCACGAATGTGTTTGTGACTAAGATAAAGACGTGGAACATCCACACAAATGTCTTAGGTTGGTACGAAGGCGAAGGGCAGGAAAGTGTGCTAGTCGACAGTGTTAGAAAAAAGTCATCATTTTCTGTTCTATGGATTTTTCAGTGGTTGCAGTAAACTGACATCAATTTTATCCTTTTTGGAGAAGTATTAAAATACTTTTTGTGGTATAGAAATGTCAGTGGCTTTGGTTCTGAGTCTGTTCTTGGGAAACTCAACATGTCATTTAAGATTTTGTGATATTTCTGAAACATTGCTTATTTTCTTCAGATTTAATAAAATATTTTAGGCATGAAAATTTAAAAATATCAATAATCTGGGACCAGCAGTTGGCATAATGGCTATGTCGCTGGACTCCCATGTAATTGACTGCAGTTGGAGTCCCAAACCCAGTGGCTTAAACTCACACCGGGCGCGTGTGCATGTGTGCCCAAGATCCTGAGAGGAGAATGGAGGAGAAGGGATTGTGGTGTGGCCATCCCCCCTGGGGGGTGATTTCTCGCTTTCTGTCTCTCTGTCTCGGTCTTTCTGGTGAGTACACGTGCCCTATAGCAAAAACCTCTCAAAAAAAAAAAAAGTATCAATAATCTTGTTTCTGTTTTCTCTAGAAAAAGCTGACAAATTACTTAGGGTTTCATGATATTTCTAGAGCGTTATTTATTCCTTTCTTCTACTGCCCTATGGAAAAGAGGAAAGTCCTGTGAATTGATGGCATTCTCCATATATAAAAACATGCCATCAATTCACAGGACTTTATACATATTTTATTTTATATATTTCATATATATTGAATGTTTGGGGTGTAGGGAGTAGCCCTACATGGAAATGAAATTATGGTGCTAGAAGGGAAAATTCTGAATGACATGTGAAGAGCTTAGATTTTATGGACAAGGCAGTAAACAGAATTTATAATATTCTCCTTAGAAACCAGCACAGTAATACTTCTACATGGCTATGTCTTGACTGCTTTGTTGCATAAATAATCATTTTATTTTATTTTTTAGGGAGAGGTTTTTGCTATAGGGCATGTGCACTTGCCAGAGACATCGAGAGAGACAGAGAGACAGAAAGTGAAAAATCACCCCCCAGGTGGGATGGCCACGCCACAATCCCTACTCCTCCATTCTCCTCTTGGGATTTTGGGCACGCACACGCACCCAGTGTGATTTTTTTTTTAGAGTTTTTTGCTATAGGGCATGTGCACTCGCCAGAAAGACAGAGACAGAGAGAAAGGGAGAAATCACCCCCCAGGGGGATGGCCACACCGCAATCCCTTGTCCTCCATTCTCCTCTTGGGATCTTGGGCATGCACACATGCACCCAGCGTGAGTTTAAGCCACTGAATCTGGGACTCGTGGTCGACTACATGGGAGTCCAGCGACAGCCATTGTGCCAACTGCTGGTCCCCAAATTGAGTGAAATGTAATTGAGTAAAACTTAACATA